ACGCTAAATTGCTCGCTATTCACCGTGAACCTCTAACCGTTTCTCAATCGTTCTTGCGGTTCACATCATCTTTTATCTATCGTGCTAAACCGTCCACCTGACCGTTCATGTATAGTTCTAAGCTGTTCATCAGACTCTTTATCTATCGCTTTAACCATCACCCGACGGTTCATCGTTATGGTGAAAGTCATGTACTAACAATACACATCTGACCTCACTATTAATGCATCGCAATTTTGACACTATCAATCACTGCGCCAGATTCATACTCTTTGGGCAAAATTAAATCTTAAGAATTTTGCCGTTACTGCTCACAAGTGAACATCGATAGTTGTAGTTGATTCTTTAGATGTGTACGCTACTGGTTAGGGTAGCGTACCCTAACCAGGTACGCTACTGGTTAGGGGTAGCGTACCCTAACCAGGTACGCTACTGGTTAGGGTAGCGTACCCTAACCAGGTACGCTACTGGTTAGGGGTAGCGTACCCTAACCAGGTACGCTACTGGTTAGGGGTAGCGTACCCTAACCAGGTACGCTACCTTTGACGTGGCTACTACTTAGCCACGTCAAAGGTGGTTGAATTATTCAACAGGTCTTTATTATACAACAGGGGGAACATTATACAACAGGGGCAACATTATATAACAGGGGCAACATTATACAACAGGGTCAACATTATATAACAGGGGCAACATTATACAACAGGGTCAACATTATATAACAGGGGCAACATTATATAACAGGGGCAACATTATATAACAGGGGCAACATTATACAACAGGGGCAACATTATATAACAGGGGCAACATTATACAACAGGGTCAACATTATATAACAGGGGCAACATTATACAACAGGGTCAACATTATATAACAGGGGCAACATTATACAACAGGGTCAACATTATATAACAGGGGCAACATTATATAACAGGGGCAACATTATATAACAGGGGCAACATTATACAACAGGGGCAACATTATATAACAGGGGCAACATTATACAACAGGGTCAACATTATATAACAGGGGCAACATTATACAACAGGGGCAACATTATACAACAGGGGCAACATTATACAACAGGGGCAACATTATACAACAGGGGCAACATTATATAACAGGGGCAACATTATACAACAGGGGCAACATTATATAACAGGGGCAACATTATATAACAGGGGCAACATTATACAACAGGGGCAACATTATACAACAGGGGCAACATTATATAACAGGGGCAACATTATACAACAGGGGCAACATTATACAACAGGGGCAACATTATACAACAGGGGCACCTTATAAAACAGGGCTACCTTATATAACAGGACTACATTATACCACGGAGCACCAATATACAGCATGGCTTTAGTATACAACTGGGCTACATTATACAACACGTTTATATTATACAACAAGGATGCATATATACAGCACGTTTACCTTATGAAGCAGTGCTACAATATACAACAGGACTCATTTTTACAACAGTGCTACATTATAAAATAGGAATAAATTGTACAGCCGAAATACAATATTGCACCTAGCTAGAGTATACACCATGACTACAGTATACAACAGAGCTATATTATACAGCGATACAACGCAACAAAAATAAAATATTATATATAGCAAGATTTTGTATAATATAAAACGAAACTCAAAATCTTTCCTGTTGTTTTGGACTTGAGTGGCCCTTTTTTATGGGGTCTCTTTGTGGCATCTCCGCTCTCTGTGTTGCAATATGAAACTGCTATAGTTTCTATGCAAATTCTCTCCCAGCTGTAGAGCTATATATATATATATATATATATATATATATATATATATATATATATATATATATATATATATATATATATATATATATATATATATATATATATATATATATATATATATATATATATATACATACATACATACATACAAATGCTCTGATTTTTGTTACATCTGTTCTTGCTGTACATCTTGTCACGGTAAAATCTCTAGGAAGAGATTCCGCCTGCTCCATCATCACCTATTCTACCCATATCACGTCTATATATGCAAGTACTGCAGTCACAAAAACAACAACTACTACTTTCCAGACGTCTAGACTATACCTCCAGTCTACCTTCACCACTGCCCGTCAACCCCACCTCGCACCTGGGTCGCTGGGAGCTCACGCCATCCGAAACAAGCAGTTTAAGAGCCTGTTAATAGTTAAAGAAGGAACCAGCGCCATCTGGACGGCCGTTGTCGTGTATAAATAGGGGTGCCTGGCCCACTAAGATTCAGATTACTCCTGAGTGCTCTGCTGAGTAGACCTGTTGACACACCCCGGTGTGGTAACAGCTATTCAGTTTGACTCACAGTATTCCCGCACCATATTTTATTTGCACATTAACATAACGTAAATTTGATTGTTCATCTTGTTTGTTTTGCACACTTTGTGTTAGAGCCAAGCCTGGATATTTTGTTTTGTAATTAGTTTTTTTTCATTTTTCTATCAAAGTAAAGTATTTTTAAATGTTTTTTCCCTCTGCTCTATCCTACAGTTTACCTCACTGGGAAGACAACTTGCAGTTTTACTTATTTTCCTTTTTTTTTGCTATTTTTTTTATCATTTTATGTGATTGGCATTCCATCTGCCTAGAGACTGCACGACCACCTACTTTTCTCGTCGTCTCGTCACTGCTGAAGTTTCTTTGTTACATCTGTGCTTGCTCAATAGCTATATATAATTGCTGAAATTTCTTTGTTACATCTGTGCTTGCTCTATAGCTATATATAATTGCTGAAATTTCTTTGTTACATCTGTGCTTGCTCTATAGCTATATATAATTGCTGAAATTTCTTTGTTACATCTGTGCTTCCAACAGAGCTAATATAACTGCTGAAGTTTCTTTCTTACATCTGTGCTTGCTCTATAACTATATATAATTGTTGAAATTTCTTTGTTACATCTGTGCTTCCAACAGAGCTAATATAACTGCTGAAGTTTCTTTCTTACATCTGTGCTTGCTCTATAACTATATATACCTGCTGAAGTTTCTTTGTTACATCTGTGCTTGCTGTATCTATATACATAACAGTTCTAGTTCATATGTGAGTAAGCACAGTCTTCAAAACACTTCGTTTACTCAGTTACTTCCGTAAGATCGTAGGTTTTGTCTAGTTTAGCGTTAAGTCAGCAATACGCGATAAAACTCTTTATTTTGGGAAGAGATTCTATTTCGTTTAGTGAAGGAACATTGAGAAATGATAACCCAGCCTAACCTAATCGAAAACAAAGCGAGTGTACACACCGAACAGGGCGAGAGTACTCACCGAACAGGGTGAGAGTACTCACCGAACAGGGTGAGAGTACTCACCGAACAGGGCGAGAGTACTCACCGAACAGGGCGAGAGTACTCACCGAACAGGACGAGAGTACTCACCGAACAGGGCGAGAGTACTCACCGAACAGGGCGAGAGTACTTGCCGAACAGGGTGAGAGTACTCGCCGAACAGGGCGAGAGTACTCGCCGAACAGGGCGAGAGTACTCGCCGAACAGGGTGAGAGTACTCGCCGAACAGGACGAGAGTACTCGCCGAACAGGACGAGAGTACTCGCCGAACAGGACGAGAGTACTCACCGAACAGGACGAGAGTACTCACCGAACAAAATTTGAATACTCACCAAACAGCAGTAGAGAAGAGCCTTGGCTTCAACATGGCACGTCATGGTGGGATCAGCTCTGGCAATGAAGCCAATTAACAGTTCAAATGACAGAGTTGAATTCTCTGAGAGTCTTGTTTACAGTGTAGTTAGGCCCACCACACGAGCCTCGCTGGAAAGAACACTCTGCATGTTGCTAGTCCGTGTCACACAGTTATGCGTGAGTGTTCTTCTCGCGCTGTTCTCCAAGGATATAACACTTTTTAACGTTTTCTTGAATATTTTGTGCCGTTCTACAGGTTCTCTGTTTTGTTTTGTTTATTTAGTGGTATTTTTTGTTCATATGGGAGTGGGCTTGAAAAGGGAAAGGTATTAGGTGTGGGCCACAGGGCAGCGTGGGCCACAGGGCAGCGTGGACCACAGGGCAGCGTGGACCACAGGGCAGCGTGGACCACAGGGCAGCGTGGACCACAGGGCAGCGTGGACCACAGGGCAGCGTGGACCACAGGGCAGCGTGGGCCACAGGGCAGCGTGGACCACAGGGCAGCGTTGGCCACAAAGCAGCGTGGGCCACAGGGCAGCGTGGACCACAGGGCAGCGTGGACCACAGGGGTAACTTAGAGCAGTGTTGGGCCACACCACTTCCAAACTCACCCATTCACATCTGACAATCCTTCAGGAGTTGAACCACTTAAGTGACTTCCTCGGGTCGTACACGGGTCGTACAAGAGGGTCGTACACAGTTTGAGCTGAAGTTTTTACAGCTACGATCTAAAATACCTTTGCCAATTAAAGGAAACTATAAGGCTCACACCATCACTACAGAGTTGCATAAAATGTTTTCAAAAGTTTAGTGTAATATGCGATAAGGCAGAGCATATGAAAGAAGTCATAGGCAAAGTTTCTTAAACTATAGTTTATCTCAGATAAACAAAAATATTGCAAATCGCCACAAGAAACTTTTGAGAGGGAGATGATGGGAGCGGCGCGCGGCCTGGCACATGGCCGGGGATGGCTGGCGAACCTGGCGGTGGGAGCGTCTCTCTCTACCTTCATGCGCGGCGGCACTAACACCACTGACCCAAACTCTCACCCATCTCTTCCTCTCACCCCGCTCTCCCTCTCTGTCTCTCTCTCTCTCTCTCTCTCTTCGCACTCCCACGTCACACTCGTGAGTCTCAGGCCTCTGTCACTCCCAGGTTCAGCCACGATGTCCTGTCGCCTTTTCGTCCAGAATCTCAGCGTTCATTCTTCTCTTTCCTCTGCTCGAGTCACGAAGGCTTAGTTGTTTAGCTTCTCTTGTGTTATTTATGTGGTCTCCGGGGATTACTTTATTGGGCCTCCAGGGATTACTTTATTGGTACCAAGCTTTGTCTTGGCTCTTGTGGTTCCTCTTGGCCTGTTGACGTTCCTCTTGGCCTGTTGAGGTTCCTCTTGGCCTGTTGAGGTTCCTCTTGGCCTGTTGAGGTTCCTCTTGGCCTGTTGAGGTTCCTCTTGGCCTGTTGAGGTTCCTCTTGGCCTGTTGACGTTCCTCTTGGCCTGTTATGGTTCCTCTTGGCCTGTTTAAGTTCCTCTTGGCCTGTTGAGGTTCCTCTTGGCCTGTTGAGGTTCCTCTTGGCCTGTTGTGGTTCCTCTTGGCCTGTTGTGGTTCCTCTTGGCCTGTTGAGGTTCCTCTTGGCCTGTTGTGGTTCCTCTTGGCCTGTTGTGGTTCCTCTTGGCCTGCTGTGGTTCCTCTTGGCCTGTTGAAGTTCCTCTTGGCCTGTTGAGGTTCCTCTTGGCCTGTTGACGTTCCTCTTGGCCTGTTATGGTTCCTCTTGGCCTGTTTAAGTTCCTCTTGGCCTGTTGAGGTTCCTCTTGGCCTGTTGTGGTTCCTCTTGGCCAGTTGAGGTTCCTCTTGGCCAGTTGTGGTTCCTCTTGGCCAGTTGAGGTTCCTCTTGGCCTTCTATGGCAACTACTGTGTTCCTCCAAACCACCTCATGTGCCCATCTCAAACATATCTATATTTACAGAGAGGTGTACAGAGGCATAAGGTGCAAGGAAACTTGCCATAACTTTTTTGCCCTGCTCCAGGAATCAAACTCGGGTCTCATCCGTTGTGTGGTGAGTGCACTAACTACTGAAGACTAATTAGTTGCATCTCCTTTTCTATTTTGAGTTCTTTGGTAATTCTGATTTAGATTTGCTTATCGCCTCGTAGGGGGCCTCGTAGGGCCTGGTGCCTGGTGGATAGCGCGCAGGACTCGTAATTCTGTGGCGCGGGTTCGATTCCCGCACAAGGCAGAAACAAATGGGCAAAGTTTCTTTCACCCTGAATGCCCCTGTTACCTAGCAGTAAATAGGGACCTGGGAGTTAGTCAGCTGTCACGGGCTGCTTCCTGGGGGTGGAGGCCTGGTCGAGGACCGGGCCACGGGGACACTAAAACCCCGAAATCATCTCAAGATAACTCAAGAAGATCGCTCGTTAACAAATCACAGGACTGAACGGGTATTCAGCTGTGCTAATTATAATTGCTGAAAAATAAATTGAATAATATATAGCAGAAAAATAAAGATATTAGAAGTATATTTGCAAACTATAAAGTTTATTTTTTGAATAATTAATTCATTTCGCGCAAGAGATGAGTACACTGGGGGTATACCGCGACTCTCAGTGTGTAGACTGTACACTGGGGTATACCGCGCCTCTCAGTGTGTAGACTGTACACTGGGGTATACCCCGCCTCACAGTGTGTAGACTGTACACTGGGGTATACCGCGCCTCTCAGTGTGTAGACTGTACACTGGGGTATACCGCGCCTCTCAGTGTGTAGACTGTACACTGGGGTATACCCCGCCTCTCAGTGTGTAGACTGTACACTATGGTATACTCTGCCTCTCAGAGTGTAGACTGTACACTGGGGTATACCCCGCCTCTCAGTGTGTAGACTGTACACTGAGGTATACCCAGCCTCTCAGTGTGTAGACTGTACACTGGGGTATACCCCGCCTCTCAGTGTGTAGACTGTACACTGGTATATACCTCGCCTCCCAGTGTGTAGACTGTACACTGGGGTATACCCCGCCTCTCAGTGTGTAGACTGTACACTAGGGTATACCCCGCCTCAGAGTGTAGACTGTACACCGCGGTATACTCACAAGGTTGCTCAGCGTGCCGGTGACGCGGCCTTAATAACCTTCACACGTTTGATAGGCCAAAAGCCCAACATAAAAAAAAATTAATTGAAAAGAAACATAAATGTGGCGAACACATACACAACAGTTTAACAGACCAGCCTTTGAGGCTTTTTTTATTATACTTTGATATACTCGTTATATATTAACCTGGTTACGTGTTGAGGTAAAGGTTATATAGATAAGAAGAGGAGAAAGTGGAAAAGAGTGAGGATAAAGAGTGAGGATAAAGAGTGAGGATAAAGAGTGGGGATAAAGAGTGAGGATAAAGAGTGAGGATAAAGAGTGGGGATAAAGAGTGGGGATAAAGAGTGAGGATAAAGAGTGAGGATAAAGAGTGGGGATAAAGAGTGGGGATAAAGAGTGAGGATAAAGAGTGGGGAGAGAGTGGGGAAATGGGGAAAATGAAGAGGGGTGGAATGGGGATTGGGGAGGGGTAGAACAGATTATCCTCGGCACTGCCGGGTATAATATAAATATAAAGGAGAATCTCTGTCTGTATGTTAAAAGGTTAGGGACCAGACGCTATGGGCTAACCTCACCAAACTTTGCAGGGTGACTGGTCCTTATCGAAAAATGGCCATAGGCGCATCGGGGTCGAACCCCCCACCTTCCCTTCGCCTGAAATGGTAAATGCCAGCAATTTCCAGTACTACGAAAGACCAAGCTCTATCCTCACTAGTTTCTAGATGATTATACGTTAATTTCTCCTATGTAGAATATTGACTTATGAAGATGATATTCAGCGAAAATGGCTAGAGGGCTGAAGAGAAAGTGGTAAAGAGTATTGGAGGTAGTGATTGGCGGTGAAGTTAGTGAACGATTGGCAAGGTAGGGTGGCTGGTGAAGGATAGGGCAGGTGGTGAATGATAGGGCAGGTGGTGAATGATAGGGCAGGTGGTGAATGATAGGGCAGGTGATGAATGATAGGGCAGGTGATGAATGATAGGGAAGGTGGTGAATGATAGAGCAGGTGATGAATGATAGAGCAGGTGATGAATGATAGAGCAGGTGATGAATGATAGGGAAGGTGGTAAATGATAGAGCAGGTGATGAATGATAGGGCAGGTGATGAATGATAGGGCAGGTGATGAATGATAGGGCAGGTGATGAACGATAGAGCAGGTGATGAATGATAGGGCAGGTGATGAATGATAGGGCAGGTGATGAATGATAGGGAAGGTGGTGAATGATAGAGCAGGTGATGAATGATAGGGCAGGTGATGAATGATAGGGCAGGTGATGAATGATAGGGCAGGTGATGAATGATAGAGCAGGTGATGAATGATAGGAAAGGTGGTAAAGGATTGAACACATGAGCAACACAGCTACAGGTTATGGTGGGGGAGACGGTGGGTTATGGTGGGAGAGACGGTGGGTTATGGTGGGAGAGACGGTGGGTTATGGTGGGAGAGACGGTGGGTTATGGTGGGAGAGACGGTGGGTTATGGTGGGGAGACGGTGGGTTATGGTGGGAGAGACGGTGGGTTATGGTGGGAGAGACGGTGGGTTATGGTGGGAGAGACGGTGGGTTATGGTGGGGGAGACGGTGGGTTATGGTGGGGGAGACGGTGGTTATGGTGGGGGAGACGGTGGGTTATGGTGGGAGAGACGGTGGGTTATGGTGGGGGAGACGGTGGGTTATGGTGGGGGAGACGGTGGTTATGGTGGGAGAGACGGTGGGTTATGGTGGGGGAGACGGTGGGTTATGGTGGGGGAGACGGTGGGTTATGGTGGGGAGACGGTGGGTTATGGTGGGGGAGACGGTGGGTTATGGTGGAGAGACGGTGGGTTATGGTGGGAGAGACGGTGGGTTATGGTAGGAGAGACGGTGGGTTATGGTGGGAGAGACGGTGGGTTATAGTGGGAGAGACGGTGGGTTATGGTGCGGGAGACGGTGGGTTATGTGGGGGAGACGGTGGGTTATGGTGGGGGAGACGGTGGGTAAACGTGGGAGAGACGGTGGGTTATGGTGGGGGAGACGGTGGGTTATGGTGGGGGAGACGGTGGGTTATGGTGGGGGAGACGGTGGGTTATGGTGGGAGAGACGGTGGGTTATGGTGGGGAGACGGTGGGTTATGGTGGGAGAGACGGTGGGTTATGGTGGGGAGACGGTGGGTTATGGTGGGAGAGACGGTGGGTTATGGTGGGAGAGACGGTGGGTTATGGTGGGAGAGACGGTGGGTTATGGTGGGGGAGACGGTGGGTTATGGTGGGGGAGACGGTGGGTTATGGTGGGAGAGACGGTGGGTTATGGTGGGGGAGACGGTGGGTTATGGTGGGGGAGACGGTGGGTTATGGTGGGGGAGACGGTGGGTTATGGTGGGGGAGAGGGTGGGCTCAGTTAAGTCTGCCCTGAAGGCTATGGGTGTTAGTGGCATAACAAAACATGAGTGTTCTGTACTCTCACGAGGCCGATGCACCTTCATGTATATAAATCAATTCATAAATAAGTGAAGTACCCGGCTCGTGTTACCAGGGCGAGACAAAGCCCCGCGACCAAGGGTTGTCTCCGCTGGGACCACTCGGGAAGGTCGGGTTAAGGTCGCCACAACCTCCCATCAAAGCTTTCACGTTGGAAATTGGATACAGTATTATCCTCAGCTGGACCTTCACCTTCAGCTAGGGCAGGTGGCACTCGGGCCTCACCAAGTGCCACCGCTACACCCTGCCACTTTAAACTTACCATCTCCCTCCTGCCACCTGCTACCACCCCCTGCCACCTCCCACCTCCCCCTGCCAACTCCCCCTGCCACTCTCACCTGCCACCTCCCACCTGCCATTTCCCACCTCCCCCTGCCAACTCCCCCTCCCACCAACCACCTCCCACCGCCACCTGCCACCTGCCAACTTCCTCTGCCACCTCCCCCTCCCACCTCCCACCTCCCGCTGCCAACTCCCACCTCCCCCTGCCACCTGCAACCTCCCCCTCCCACCTACCCCTGCCATCTCCCACCTGCCACCTGCCACCTCCCACCTGCCACCTTCCCCTCCCACCTGCCACCTGCCATCTCCCACCTGCCACCTCCCCCTGCTACCTGCCACCTCCCCCTGCCACCTCCCACCTGCCACCTCCCACCTGCCCCCTCCCACCTCCCCCTCCAACCTGTCGCCTGCCATCTCCCACCTGCCACCTGCCACCTCCCCATGCCACCTCCCACCTACCACCTGCTACCTCCCACCTACCACCTCCCACCTCCACCTGCCACCTCTCCCTGCCACCTCCCACCTTCCCCTGCCACCTCCCTCCTCCCCCTCCCACCTACCACCTGCCACCTCCCACCTGCCACCTCTTTCTGCCACCTGCCACCTCCCACCTGCCACCTCCCACCTGCCATCTCCCACCTGCCACCTCTCTCTGCCACCTGCCACCTCCCACCTGCCACCTGCCACCTTCCACCTGCCACCTCTCACCTGCCACCTCCACCTGCCATCTCCCACCTGCCACCTCCCACCTGCCACCTCCCACCTCCACCTCCCACCTCCCCCTGCCACCTCCCCGTGCCACCTGCCACCTCCCACCTGCCACCTCCCCCGTCCACCTGCCACTTCCCCCTCCCACCAACCACCTCCCACCGCCACCTGCCACCTGCCAACTTCCTCTGCCACCTCCCCCTCCCACCTCCCACCTCCCGCTGCCAACTCCCACCTCCCCCTGCCACCTGCAACCTCCCCCTCCCACCTACCCCTGCCATCTCCCACCTGCCACCTGCCACCTCCCACCTGCCACCTTCCCCTCCCA